CCAAAGGGGAAATTAATTTTGCAGCAACTCTCAGTAGAAACTACAACAAACTAACAGTTAATATTTAACCATAGGGGTGTGGCCTCAAGTTAAATATTAACTATTAATAAGCCTTTAACCAATTAGAAGTTAAAAAGACAAAACTGGTTTATTATTCTCCTTTTACCAGAGTGCTAAAAGGAGAATAATATATATGCTAATGAGTGTTTAATACTTCAAATGTGAAATCCTCTCGCTTTAAGAGACAAAATAAAAATAGAAACTGTATTCTGTTTTTTTGTTTGTTTGTTTTTTTGCGATTGTCCCATCAGGCCTTCTGGAGACAGGCCTCCCAGGGGGCGCGGCGGCGGCCGGGGGGGGCGAGGCGGACGAGGACGCGGCATGGGCCGCGGCGAGGGCTTCGACTCACGTGGGAAACGGGAATTCGACAGACACAGCACCAACGACAAATCGTGAGTGAAGCGTTGCACTGTAAAAAGTGACTGGCAAGTAAGATGAAATGTGCTAATCTGAGTCAACAGATGCTTGTTGTTCAATGTTTGTTTGAGAGAGAGAGAGAGAGAGCGTTGCTTTCAAATTAAGTGGAAAATGTATGCCTGATTTTCTTCATCAAGTGGTAAATATTTTTATCTTGTCAGACAAAATGAATTTATTCTGCTTTAGGTAAAATATTTACATGGAGATGCATCTGCAGATTTCTGCGTGTCAAACACCAATTTTACCGATTTCAGATTTAGTTTAAGGAGCTCTATATGAAATCAGCATTTAATTATATTTTTACTAGTTTTCCAGTCATGAGCAGTGGCTACTATTTGCATTAGGAACTAGGGGTGGGCAATATGCACTGAAAGTTTGAATTATCAGAATAGTTTCCAGATGGCATAAAGAAATGTGACTTGTATCATTAAAATGCACAAAGTAACTGCATTAGTTTTTTTTTTTTTTTTTAATTATTGATGTTTATTGATTAATATTGATGAAAAACAGGAGAAAAATAATAAACTAACAATCCCAACAAAAAGGACAGTTTTGGGGAGAGTTGAGCATCATTAATGCTTACAGCTGGTTGTGACAGCAACGAATCAAAACTCTTGTAAGAAATTTATCACAATAAATAATACAATAAACACCCACCCCTATGAGGAAGACAGGTGATGTCATGTGTTGGAGTTAATTGTTTTAAACTAAAGCAACAGGATGACTGAGGGGACAATTTAAACGGTTACACTTGTGGTTAACACAGTTAACATAGGTATCTGCAAACAGCAGTGTCTTTGTTACAAAAAATACCTTTAACTCTTTCAGTAACCACTTCCGCACCGAAGAGTTTTTACGTGGGTGTGTTCTGTGTGAGTTAAAACATGATACTTTCACTAAAAGAAGAAAAAAAAGTCTCTGAGGTTACATGAAGCAGTTTTTCACAGTGTGTGTGATCTTATAGATCTACTGCATGTTTTACAGTGCAGTGTCCATAACGACGTCAGAATTGGGATATTTTCTAAATTCTCAGGCGTGGATGAGCGCAGAAAAGGAAAATGAAGTATAGAAAAGTGTTTGCTTCCAAAGATAAAAGTTGTAAAAAGGAACTATTATTACTGGTTTTTGCTTAAACGTAACATTTAAGCAATCATGTTTGTGGGTGTGTAGTTTTACTAGTAGAACTCGCACTCATTTAATATGAAAGGACCTTTTTCTAGTGCTTTTCTTCTCATTTATCAGATCAGAGTTCTTAAGCTGGACCTGTGGTTCTTAACCATAACCTGATCAAAGGTGGTTCAGACTGCAAAGAATGGACAGAAAATCTGTTTTTAGAAACAGTGAAAATATATGAAAGTCCACAAATTGAGGCTTAAAGAATCTGTCATGATTTGAGAATGTGTTTGGAAAATAGTTGAATTTGGTTCATATTCCCCAAAAAAGCTGTGGAACAGCCCTTTACCACCTAACATACATCCGGCTTCACTTTTGGATTATTTTATGATAAAATCAAAACTCTGTGAAGATTTTGCTCTCAAAATGTCAAATGGTACAGAAAGTGATTTTTTTTTTTAACTTGGGAAAACATATTTTTCTGAAAATAAACTTAGAAGCTCTGAATTTTCATCTCCTTACTTTCCAGGCTTATTTGACTTCCTCCTTTAAAGAAATGTTCCTTTTTTCCTTTTTCTTACCCAGTTCAAAGACTGAGGAGAAGCGCGGCGGCTCCGGCTCGCACAACTGGGGCACAGTGAAGGATGAAGTGAGGTGAGTTATTTATTTATTTATTTTCTAAACAAACGGGGACACTGAATCACTTTGCTCGCTGCTTCGCTTGGTGCCGTCGCCAACGAAGCGCTTCTATTTTTGGAACAAACACACAAGTGGCGGTTTTGATGCCGCACACGGGGAGGGATGGAGGAGGTCGAACATGGAGCAGTTTTAGCTTTTTAATATTTTGGGATTGTGTTTAGAGCAAAGCGCGCTGGGAGAGTTGACAAAGTGCTTTGCTTTCAGTGAGGCCGAACAGACCGCCGCCCCAGAGCCGACTCCGGAGGGAGAGGAAAACGCACCCGCCGGCTCCGAGAACAAGTAAGAGTCGCAGAGCGCAGAACCCTCTAACACCATGTTCTCTTAGGACGTAGATGAAGCAGAGTGAGGACTGAGTTCCCACACAGCTGTTTTTATTTTTTATTCTAGAGAGAACGAGGTGGAAGAGGTGAAACAGGAAGGCCCCAAAGAGATGACGCTGGACGAGTGGAAGGCCATGCAGGACAAGGAGCGCACCAAGGTGGAGTTCAACATCCGCAAGCCCAACGAGGGAGCCGACAGCCAGTGGAAGAAGGGATACGTACTGCACAAGTCCAAGAGCGAAGACGTAAGCCAGCGTTCTGTCCAAGACGGTTTGTTCCCAAAGGGCTCTGAACGATTTCCTCTATTTTAAGCAATCGGTTGATACTTTCATGTGAAAAAGATCTTATCTACCTCTCCAAAGGTCTGAAAAGCAAAACACGGGCTGCGTTTCTGTTGACTGTAAAGTTGTGCTAATTGAAATCATGAAAATAAATTTGCTTAATGGAAATGCCAATTTCGGGAAAAAAAAAACATGATTTTTGATAAAAAGCTTCTGTGCTAGATGGAGGTGGTTTTTCAGCCATGTTGATGCAGATGTATTTTTCTAAACTGCAACGAAAACACCTTTTTTTTTTCATATCACGTGAGTCACATGATCAATAGCCGGATTTTACTACTGGCGAAAATGACGAAGACGCAGGAAGCAGTAGGAGGATGATGGATTGTTTTTTCTGACAGCACCAGCATTGTCACAGCATCACAAAGATGGTAAAAAGTTCTGTCTTTCAAAAGTGCTGAATCTGTTTCTCTTCTGCAAAATCGCAGACGCATAGTTAGCTGCTCCAACTGATAAGACGCCGACCTCTCCTCTGATTGGCTGATAGATGATGAGCTTTAGCGCCATATATGAATATATTTCATGTAACTGTTTACCTCCGTCACTGCCCTGATTTTTGACGACTTATATGAACAAACTTATTCAAGTGTGATTTTAATTGCACCTCTTATTTAATGTAAACACCACAATTGCAAATTGTATTTTTTTTCGACATTAGAAGACTTTAAAAAAATAGAGTCCTGTAATTGTCCGAGTTATTGAGTGACGATAAATCTAGTGATAAATTGAGTGACTTTACTTCTGTGATATTTCTGACCTTGCACGAACACAGGAAAGCAAAAAAAAAAAAAACATTAGTTTCTCCTGTTGCTACTCAAACCAACAGTTGGTTTTCCCTTATCTTTGTACTGAGATAATGTCTTTATCTCAGTACATGAGTTATTATTACATGTTATAATAACTTACGTTTTTATAACATGAGTTAATCATGATGTCTGAGATGACATCATGAATAACTCCAAAAGTCCAACAAACCATCAAGTTTTCTTCCTTAGCAGACTTTTTTTTTTCATGTGTTTTGTTTTTAAGGTAGAAAAAATAGGTCAACATTTATTTTTGTCGTCTTTTCCAGAGGCCTGTTGGTGCTTTGATTGATGCGTCGGAAACAGAAGCAGAACCTCATGCTCTTTTCAACAAGGTAATCAGCCACATATACACTGAAAACATTTATCAGTGACTTATTAGGGAGAAAAACGGTTATTAAAACACCTTTTTGATCATCGTACACTACAATTCTACCAGCAGGGCGCCGCTGACGAGTCCTCTGACCACCATTTCCGCAAACCAGCCAACGACATCACATCCCAGCTGGAGATCAACTTCGGAGACCTGGGGCGCCCCGGGCGCGGGCGTGGCGGCGCCCGTGGAGGCAGAGGGGGCCGCGGCGGGGGAGGCAGCCGGACGGCACGTGGGGGAGGACGCTCCGAAAAGGTAACGACAAAAGCCAACGCTAAAAAAACAAAACAAAAAATAAAAACATGAGCACAAAATAAGAGCGGTGAGGTGGAAAAGCCGCTGTGGAAACAACAAAGCAGTTCGGCCATTCAGAACTGGCTGGCTGACCTGAGGCCAGCGGGGTCAGTGGAAGGTCAGCAGAAACCGGCTTTGGAACGCAGTCAGTTCACATGTGTTTAGTTTTTACAAAGTGAGATTTAAAGAAAAAACATTTTTAGTTAACTGTAGGTTTGGCTGTGACTGAATACAGATACAAATATGTGGGACCCCAGTCACACAGAGAAATGTGATTTGCATCACTAAACTGCACACAGTAACTGCATTTAATCTTTATTAATTTATTTTTTTTATTTATTGATGTTTATTTATTCTTCAAATGAAAAAAAAAACTGTGAAGAAAAAAGTAAAACTGACAATCCCCACAACACAGACAGTTCTGGAGGGGTTAAACATCATCGACTGGAATTTATAGTTGCAACGATGAATCAAAATTCTTCTCATGATAAGAAACTAATCAAGATAAATGATAAACGATATGATAAATGCCAATCCCGAACAAGGACTGATCAGCTGATCAGAATGTTGCGGTCAGGTCCTGACATTCGGGTTTTCTAGCTGAATTTTGATTTCACTTTAAACCTTCCTGTTGTGTCTTAAAGCCAATATTTGCATCCGAAAGTGATTTTTATGTTAGAATTGTCACGAGGTGATTCTATAAAGTTTTGCCTGAATCTAAATGTACACTACAGTTTTCAGTAGGGTTGCACTGATAATTTGACCTTCATTTCTTTGACTTTGGGTGATTAAAAATATTCACTCCACTTTTACCAACTTTATTGCTATATTTAGGGACTTTTCAGGCAAAAACAAATCATTATCGGCCAAAATGGCAGGTGGAGTATAGAGATGTGCAGGAGATGTTCGATAATTTGTACCTTAACTTTCACTTGCCAATCTTAAATGCAGCGATTACACTTTATAACTTGTGTAAAGTCACTCCAAACTCCAGGGAAACAGTTCAAGCTTTGTCCTGCAGCCAAAGATTATTCACCAACAGTTACATTCTGAAACTTTTTTATTTTTTGAAGCGTAAATGTTGCGTTGTGTGTTTGTCCCTCCAGGCCAGCGGAGTGTCGGTCCCCAACGTGGACGATCCCGAGGCCTTCCCGGCCCTGGCCTGAAGACGCCGTCTTTTCCTCCACCAGCCCACCCATCTGCCCTTCCGGGGGCCCCTCTTCTACGAGGCTTGCATGCTTACCACATCTTCAAATATATAAGGAAAAAAAAAAGAAAAAACCCAACAGTGAAAAAAAAAATAAAATAAAAAAAAAGGCAGACTGTCATCCCATACCACTCACACCACCAGAGGACTCGAGTTTTATTGGTTTTAAAGAAAAGACAAAAAAAACAACAACCAAACAGATGGAAAAAGGACCTCTTGTTACACTGAAGTTTTGTATTTAGGAACATGAAAGCAGGGATGTTTTCATTCTTCCCCCCGCCCCCCCCCCGCCCCCCCC